CAAAATTGCTATATCCATGATTTCAAGGAGCTTCAATTTAAATGATGGCCCATTAGGGGACATTGATGCCATTGAAGGACCATTAAAGTTACCTGTTACAAGATAGTGAGAGTACTTTTGTGAAACATCCTAGCTGAGGGCGTTTAACAGAATGCTGATGAGTTCTGATGCCCATAAATAATTTCTAAGAGGCAAGCATCACTCGTCTTCTGTGAACTAACATCTCGAAGTGCTAGGTGCAGTCGGTAAACTAGTTTGTCGGGAATAACAAGGGAATTTTCGATAAGGGCTTCACATTTCAAGTGATCTCGATAGTAGAGAGAAACATTGCCACCGCGAGATGGACAATCATTTCGAACGACTGACATCTCACTGAGTTCAATCTGTGGATCAAGTATGTAGTTTGAGAGCCACGTTTCAGTAACTGCTCTGAGGTCCCAGGTTGTTGTTTCATGTCGATGACGCAGTTCCGGGAGCTTAGAATACAACCCTAGGTGTTGGTATAGCAGCATTGTATTTGTTGACGCATTAAGAACACGGTTTGCTGTGAGTGACCGGCACACATAGTGCCGGTCTGCTAAAGTTTTTGAAACGGTTGTTTACACGGTTGGCTGATCTGAGATAGGAACAAATGAGACTGGCTCATCTGTATCTGGGTCTGTACTAATTGAAGGAATGTTCTTACCGTACTTCTGGTGGCCCACGTTTCCTGTTTTCATGCCACGCTTGGATTGCCACTGATGCCCTTTCGGGCGCAGCCAAGGGAACTTTCAAAACTCGTGGCCCGCTACCTTGGTAGTTTGTGGAGGCAACTAGACGGGTGACGTCAAAAGCCACGACATTTTGCATGTCGTAGAGCCCTGTGATGTACCTCCATTCTTTGATATCGTACTTCTGTCGTTCACAGCTATCGTCATGCTTCAATTCTGGCACACCATGAGCCAGTACCAGTTTCTCCATCTCATTTTGACATGACGAACTAGGGTTGGATTTCCGCTTCTGTCTTTCTGTCCATGGCCTGCCAGGAAAAATGCGAGCACTGACAGAAGAGTTCACTAGAATGTGGCTTGCTAAGAGAACATCTTCCAGGTCGCGTGTGTTGTCAAACGTTACTCGCAGTAACCGAGGTTCCCCTACTTGTGTAGATGATGGATTTCGTGAAAGGCTTGTAATACTAGTTGGGAAAACTTTCATTTCGACTGCGCAGGTTATTTCAGCCTAGTGGCGGCTTTGCTCCTCGGCTTGCCTACCTTCTAGAGATTCGTTAGTGAGTTCTGGGACGTGTGAACATATCATTGTCATCGCCTTTTGGTTACGTAGTAATTGTTTGTTCTGCAGTTCCTTGTGAGCGTAGGTTAGTTGACTGGGGGTGTCTGGCTTGTCTTCCGAGAACGATAGGCCAAAGCTACAGCAAGATGTTTTTACGTGCAACATCGTTACTTGCACTATCTGTAGGAGTCAATTGTTGTTACCCAGCTACTGACGGTGATCGTGCAATTTGTGCGTAACTCTGCATGCTTTGGGGCATTACGTGAGACTTGGGAGACCGTTCAACCGGCCTGTTTTCACTGCTGTTTTTCACTAACGGTGTTTGCCTTTCGCTGAACTGGGTAGCATTGTTGCTAGAGAGATTTACCTTTTAACAGGTCGGGGATTCGGGCTACCTAATGCACTAATCTGCAACTCGAGTTCTGAGATTTTCCCTCCCAATACCGTAATCAGTTCCTTTTGGTCTGCCAACAGCCAACGTTGCACACCTTATCGTAAGCGTTTGAACAAGCTTAATTTTCGGACTATCTGAACAGAAGTCACAGAACCACAATCTATCTGTCGATACGCTGTTAGCTCCATTACGTGTAATGTTCTTATTTGTTGCGTCGTAGGAATTGATACAGAACGAACACGTGATTTTTGAGAGGATCTCAGTTACCCGCTTGTCTGAGCTACGATTGACGTTGGGTTTGTTGCTCACTGGATTCCCGGTTGACAAACCTCTCCGGCCCATGGATCAATGGTCGGTATGCACTTTTAGGTTGCGCTGGTCATGCCCTTTGGGCTGCCTCAGTTGTCTGCTCCAGTCAACGGGTTTGGTGTCGCGTCCCTGGCGCACAAGTAGCCAAAATCATACAGGTTTGGTGCAGTGAAATGCACGTAAAAATATGGTGGTAATGTGAGATGACAAAATATACACGTACTTATGGTATACAGTGGTGCACAGTACTAAGTTATGTGCTGTCTGACAGTATTAAAGAAGCTCTGTCGAATGGTATCCCAAAGGTACTGATGAAACTCAAATAAGCAAAGTTACGTTGGCCTTAGTGAATAGAATTCCGAAGACGTCGTTTGTGGTGTATCAGTGTGTCCTTGGACTTGCTTCAAAAATATAGACCCCGTTGGATAGAGCTTGGTGATCCGAATCGATTGAGCGTAGTTCCAAAGATGTGGCACAAGAATGTGAGGGGATAAGTCCAATTTAACACAGAGCACAGGATTGAACGATTAACAAGCACACGCTGAATAGTCTTCCACGACAGTCTCAGTACATTGCAGTTGATTGATGCTTTGACTTTAATGAAACAATGAAGCACCCTACATCTCAAAAATATTGCGGTTTAATTCCTTTCCCAAGTACACCGTCGGTTTACTGAGAAGTATACATCAAGTCAGGATAAGTAAGTACTTGCAAACGGTATATTAGTACACAAGGAGGGCCGATGGCTAAAGGATTACCAGCCTGCATTGTAATCCGGCGGTCGCCGGTTCGAATCCGCGTAGGTGATAGCGTCTCCGCTGTAGACCCAACGCAGGCGCGACCGATGTTGGTCGCGTGGTAGCGGAGTGTTGCTATTGTGTACCCGCGTACGGTTGACTCTTTCCTGCAGTACACGACTGAGAGTATACGACAAGATGTGATCACTGTGTCGTTCCTAACGATATCCAAACCACGTAAACGGAATTGCAACCTGCAGGTGATTCGGGTTAATAGTGCACCTCTTTGTCACAACTGAACATACATTTTTGTCGCATGGTTCACGGCTGGGGCATGGCCAATGAGCAGTAAAGAATCTCGAATAAATTTAGCTTCCCAAAAGAGCTGATTTCGGTACTAGGTTAAGGAATTTGAGGAAGACAAACTTTAGGCAGATGATTGCCGAATTTTGCCTTCTAATTTCCCCTTTGATTTTCCAGTCTATGGATTTACAGTGCGGTGCACTGCAACTCAGCTGCCATCCCATCCTGTCCTCTGTCAACATTTATCATATGCACTCTCGTGCTCTAGCAGCGTGCTCAACTCAGCCCAGGTGTGGCGCATTCAAAGTCTCACCTACGCTCTTGAATTCGGCTCTAAACCATCCTACCTAACCCCTCCAGACTTTATCCAATCCTGTTCTTTCTTATTACCTCGTTTTGTTTTTACTCACGTGTTTCTTCCTGCATCCTAGTTATACCGATGCCCTTTGACACCTATGTGTAATCTCAATGTTTACCGCCTGCTCTACAGACTCAAGTACTTCGCTACCTGATGGTTTAGTGTGTAGATGTGTCAAATTTTTCCCCGAAATCGTAACATTACTTGTCCAATCAATGGCTTCCATTTGTTCATCCACTTAACTGAACCATCCGGTAGCTGTAAATGTACCCTGATTATTTGTTCTTCAACTGTTTTGTTCATTGCATCACTTATCATCAGTAGCACATTTTAGTAGCGCACTTAGTCTTAATCCGTGCGTGCTGGACTTTCGACCACACTACTCATAGCTCATAGTCGTGCAGTAGCCTCAGGTGATCTGATGCAACTGACTTTGCAAGTACATTTCACTTTCCATGGGAATAAAGCACATGTTAATTTTCAGTTTCCAGTGACAAGTGAGCTCAGGTCAAGGTCATCTTCCAACCATTGGAATATCCTTGCAGTGCGTACTTGTATACGATGAAAGCAACGGCCACGGACTTATCTGCCCATGGTAGCGGAATTAGTTCATTTATAATGCAGAGACCGATGAAGTTCAGAAAGCGTAAACATTGACTTTAATCCGTCTCTTTCGTTACCTGATACTCTCAACCACGCGTGATTGTGGGCATGCGGACGCTGCCTGTTTAAAAGCATGAATTTCGATCATTCGTTAAAACACTTCTTGGGGCCGACCGTTTTACTTCATTACTGCACAATATCAAGGTTATCCTTTTTAACCATTATTTCTGGGTACAATTACTTTTGTACACCTGTCGTATTTTCACTTTAAGTGCACTTTATCTATCTGTGCCGGCCAGTATCCCTGAGGATCACAAATGTGCCTGGTAATCTGGTGGTCACGGGTTCGAGCCTGTGTAGGGGACCGGCCGACTCTCGCAGTATCCTTACCCCACGCGCCACTGGTGGTGGTTGTGTGGAAACGAAGCGTCGGTACTGCGTTGCGGCATACTGCTGGTGATGTTTTATTATCCATCTGTGAACCGCATGACCTCTTTCAACGGTCTCCATTGGCCGAACATGACCACCCCGATCCTGCTCATAGAAGCAGAAGAGAAGGACAGCCCAAGTTTCCACACGAATGATGCACTAGTTATGTACCCCGCTATGTATGGGGTCATGAGTGCATGCGAACTTTTGCTCATGCTTCAATCAACTTGAAACTATCTTCCATGTGTACCAGCTTCGTAAGTTCGACTGTATCTCACTTTTTTGGAAAATATACTACCTTATCTTCAGCGTTCATCATTTTTTTCCAACCTCTTCGTGATTCCTTTATACCATGTTTTTCATGCTGCTTCTTACTAATGAACTCCGCAGTGAACTCTTCCGCTTATTTTCCTGGACTTAAGCGCCAAGGTACATTTTAAAGTTGGAGTTTTCAGATCTGACCGGAGAACATTATGTTTGGCTACGTACAGCCAATTTTGAAGACCTTGGTTGTAATTGAAAGGCCCTCAACGAAGTGGGATTGTGCTGCAGGTCGATCTGATCGTTATTTTTGACATTATAAGCATAACTAACCGGAAGACTGTAAGTTGTTTGTTTTCTATGCCATATCCACCCGGAGCGATCGGGCACAAATAAGTAAAGAACATGTGAGACAAAGAACTTACCTGCTCGCAAACGGGAAAGTAAAGATCATTTGGCTATGAACGATGAAATAGCTTGGAAAGTGCAATTTAACAGATGTGTCAACCTTGGTTGACTTTGTCAACGGATAGAAATCGCGTAGTATGCTTTTTGACTGTACGGTTAGATCATACAGGAAACGGTTTCTCTTGTTTACCCATTTGCCACGTACTCGGAGAATGAACAGACATAACCTCTTCCACAAATTACAAACGTTTGTATGCTTAGACGGGCGATTTTCGTTACATGTCTGTTGTGCCTTTACGATCACAGTATGAGTCATCTTACAAGGCTGAGAATCTTCTCCAATTTTTTGATTTCCAACTCCGGACCTTTCGGTTGATCCATTCCTTTCTTTTCCTTTAAAGAAAAACATAACAGGAATACATCAAATACATCAAATGATGTTTGTTATCCGCAAAATATTTCGGCAAGTAGAGCAGTCCTGGAGATTTGGGCTATCGGATCCAAGTAGTTGCACTTATGCTGAACCAAGTTGACGTCTAGCCTGAGTATGGGAAAACAATGCGATTCCATCGCTGCCCTGAGGAAGAAAACTTATAAGTGTGCACTCAATTCAGTAGGGAAAACTAGATCTGAAATGAGGTACGTTCAGTTGCTGGATCATGTGGCCATGATGTAGCCGATTTCAAGGCCACCGTCCATTGTGCTGGCACGTACCGGCGTGATCAGGCCTCCTAACCAGGCCCTTCATGCCACACCATCGAGTGATCACTACGCGTTCCCAGCCAAATGAGTACAGCGAAGATAAGCCATACATGCCGAAATTGGTTGTCAACATGCATGTTTTGAACGTCAGTGGCCAGTGCAATCGATCCGAGTTACACATACAATCCATTGCAGTACCTATCGCAATTCAGACACTGTTAAACGTCTACTTTTGTGGAATCAGGTTGCCGTTCTTAAGTAGATGTTTTTTGTAGGGGTAGCATGGGATCGAGTGTCTTGTGCTTCTGTGAAAACTGTACCTATCTGCTCTATCGGTAACTGCCTCAGAATCGGCATTTCAGCTATCTCGTTGTAGGGCATATCTGACCGAACTTCAACTTTATCGTGTTTTTAACCTGGAATGCTGCAACTTTTACCCACCAGCCGTCTTAAAAAACATGAATATCTTGAAACGAAAGTAGGCACCAACTGGTCAACTAACCTTCGGCTTCTTTCGCAAGTTCGGGGACAGTTTCAGACTCGTCACTTGGCCCCTGAAAGAAGGCAAATGGTCAGAGTATTATCCTTAAGCCGAAATCATCGTTTCCTTTATATACATTTGTTGGAAGACAACTGAAGAGCAGATGACACACCACTAGTGAGGACGGCCACGGTCCGCACTTCGTGGGCTTAACCCCGGCTGTTTTCTTTGCCTGGATACAAATTTTTACTTTGTTGTATGCTTGTTTAGTGCTGTCCGTGAAGGACACTTTCAGTGACATATTCTTTGTCGCAACTCTCCATCAGCTTTACTCTCTGAGTTTCTCATCGACATGCGGCACCGATTGCCTTTTTTAGCAAGGCATCAGTGTCATCCACACGCGACATAGTATCATTGCATACATCGCAGCTCAGGATACTCGTGCTACCTACTTGGTCACGATGTTCTCATATTCCTTTGCCGTACTCTCTAATCGAATGTTTGATCTATTACAACCTAACCATCCATAGACTGCTTACCGGCCCGTAGCCTTACGGAACACAAGTCTGCCTTGTAATCTGAGGGCGCGGGTTCGAGCATGCGTTTGAACCAGACTATCCTCGCAGTATCTTTAGCTCACGTGCGGCTGATGGTGGTTGCGTGACAACGAAGCGTCCGTACTGTGTACAAGCATACTGCTGATGCCTTGTTTTACTGATCCATGCATGCAAGTTGCTCTTGAGTTCCTCTTCTGTAGATTTTGTTGCACCGACCCCCCACTTAGCCCAATCTGGGCAGTATAGCAGGCGTTGTGGCCGACAGTCAGTGAGCAATGCCAACCTCTAGTCGCATCTTTATGCTGACAGTGAGCTCCTTCCTCGACGGACCCTCAAACACAGCTGTTTTCTGATCTCTGGGCTTTATGACTTTCCACGAATCTCCTTGCCTTGGGATGCTTCTTCCAGAAAGTTCCTAGCAGAACTTAGACAGTCACCATAATTCCGGACAGGCGCTAGGCAGCCGTTTCATCCTATTGGGACCAGTCAGTAGCACGTATCCGGTGGATTCTGCTATATCCGCACCTATGACTGCTTTAATGAGTCGCCGTCTGAAGCCACTATCTATGGGGAACGGCGGCAGACCGCTGTAACTGATCCCTAGCAGTGAGTCAGAGCAACTGACCTATCGTATACGCTACTCAGGCTGCTACACGGAGGTTATCCGCGTTCACACTTTTACATTGGTTATAGTAAAAGTGGTGCTGATCCACAAATAATCAGGACTATCGGTCTCTCTCGTCAAACTCCAACCTACATGCAGTCATTTGTTTCTGCTCCCAGTTTGAATATCGTGGTGCACGGGTTTATCACTATGAAACTCGTCGACATTTTCGCAGCACATCATCACTGCTACCAACATAGCAAGGTGGTAAGGCAGCTTTCGCATGTTGGTCGATCAAGCATCTCCCACTCAACTTCGTTGGCTTCCTCTTTATCAATTAAGCAGAATACCCACAGCTCGGGTTGGAACGTGTGGTGCTGTTTGGTTCCCGGATTGCATGCGTTTCGCTATCCATCGAAGTGGCATCTTCACTGCGCGATAGTAAATAACCAACTTGCCAACAGGTACCAGGCCTCGTGCAAATCCGTCTTTGTACAACTCTGCTCCAATGGGTTAGTTCACACACCCAGTACTTGCAACTTTTACCACTTAAGCGTCTACGATGAACCGTACTATGATTGGGTCAAGGTAATAAACATACGTGTCCACGTTATTACATTGTGTTATCTGCCAGATCTTTCTGTTTGCAGTTTTCATAATTTTACTCGTGGTCTTACGTAGGCCTCATGACTTTCAACAAATGTACAGGGTATAATAATCGTTCTGTCCGCTTACAATTCCCCTGTTTTCACCCAAAAGAGAGTTTATTGCTTGAACGGCTACAGATGAAAGCAAGAATGAGCGTATGGACAAATGGCTACACGAATTCCTTCAGATCAGAGCAGTCGGATTGCGGCGATACGGCTGTGATCATTTTCGAGATCATCTGACATTTGTTGAATTGCGTCGACGTTTCAGTGCTCAGGCTAATTTGTGCTGGCTCCTGATTAATTCTCCTAAATGCCCTCATTCAATATGGTACCTTTTCCTTGTCCTACGCCTACATATGCTAGTAGTTTGCATGTTACAACAGCCAATGTTTCGATAGCAAATCCGAACAGATCGATTGGCGGCGGTACATTCAGTCGGAAGCAGCAGTGACAACGTCAGTGGATACACAACAACAAATTGACGCGACCGCTTACCGATCGTCTCCAACAATGATTATGCTGTACTTGGGATTGAAAGCCAGATGGGTGAGTTTTGCCTTTTTCTTTGCAAGCACCAACTGATTACATAGCGGATCGTACTTGTTAACTGCTAGATCGTAAACGTGCACTCGTCCATCAGTAGTCACTGCGGCGAACACGGTAGACGAGTAGGGGGCCCAAGCGACGTCACCGACTGGTGACCCGAGATCGAACATGAAGACAGGTTCGCTGTAAATGGAAGTGAACGATGGTTTATCTTCAGCGGGTTAAATAAAGCACGAAAGTATATACAGTGAATGGGAGGTGCCTAATTGTGTATCAAATTGTTTCTGCTGTCGTTTAGTGAGAAGGGTCTGCAAATGTCGTGTGTAGGAGGAACACCAGGTTTGAAAGGACGATGTTCGACGTCGCGTTTTAGATACGGACCACCCTCTGGACAAGCTAATACCGCTGTGCCAAATGAGATGCCTGGGTCACGTACTGCGCATGTCGTGCGAGCATTTACCATGGCGCGCCTTATTCTCTCGCTCAGGGGCACACTGAAAGAAATAACGTGGTAGTCAACCCAGACGTAGCGACAAAATGTCAAGGCGCTGACTTGCTTTCTGGTTGTTATCGTTCCCGTGCGTATTCCGAGTTGAACAGTCAACGAGGAAGAAAACCGCGGATGGAATACTCTCGAGAACAAGGCGCGGAATCGAGGACAGTGGAAGATTTACAAAAATTCATGAATTGATTCTACTTGTCACGCCCTAATCACTAAACGGACAAAAAAGCATAAAACAGCTATATACCTACTCTATATACAGTTGCTCGCGATATATATATATATATATATATATATATATATCTGGGTGGCAGCATCCGGCTACGGATTTGCCTGTCACTATGGCCAGCCACAGGACGCCTGCGCCTACAGAGAGACCATGGGTGGCTTGCGCTGCACCACACACAACTCCAACCACACACACCCCATATCCAGTGTAAACCCGAAGGAATAAGACCGGGAGCCATATGGATGGGAGCCACGTTTCATCAATGGAACCGGCCCACACTCCTTCACAGGCAAACACAAGCACGCTGTATTTGGGAATCAAGCGCACACAAGGCGGTAGCTGGACCGTAGTCCGCCCCACACTGAGTGCATGGAACCACTTTTCGAGCCTAGTACGACCACAAGGACCGTGCACCCCGTCCCCTCTAGCAACGACCAACTGTCTCCTGGAGCCAGATGGACGAGGTAGTTTGTGATAGACAGATAGGCACCTTGTCAACATGCACATCAAGCGCAGCCACACCAGGGATGTCAAACCTCATCCTCGATCCACAGGCGTTTCACTAAGTGGTGCAGCGCAGTCACCAACGCGGGTCCGCCGTATTTCAATTCTTCAAACGGGATTCCGTCGGCACCGGCACACTTGCCGTTTGGTAGCTGAGCAAGCGCTCTCTGCGTCTTATCTAATTTAGGCGAGTCCACCAGACTCGCCTTCAAATCGTGCTGCTTAAGGCCGTTCCAAGTAAGCCAGTCGATCTCTGAACGGTTGTTCAAGAGACAGTTAAAGTGTTTTTACCAGACCTGCGGTGTGTCTGCAGTCTGTAAGTAACTAGCGCCTGAACTACCGTCGATCAGCGTCCCCAGCGGCTCCAATCTCGGTCCATACACCGTCTTCAAGGAGTCAAAGAATTCCGTGTGTAGACGGCGTTCGGCGTTGCATTCCATCTGCTTCGCCGACCTATATTCACGTGGTGCTGTGGTGGCGTTGCCTACCCAGTAGAATGTGTAGCCAGCACCTGCCTCATGCAGCTTAATCAGCGAGCCGAGTCTCACTGAGCGCCGCAACATCGATGTGGTAGCGCGCCAGTTCCATCACGACCGGTGCAGTGCGTCGCTCGGGGCACTCACTCGAGTCCCGGTGTAGTAATGCGGAAACGTTTCAGTACCCGATGCTGAGTGCTTTGCGCGCAGGCATACAATCGCATTGGTGGGCAATCGCACGCGAGGTGGTGGAAGTGCTTCAGAGGTTTGCTTGAGGTACTCCACCCGGAGCATTTTGCTCAATAACCTGACCCACAAGGCAGTGGGTGGTTTGGAGATTTGCTTGAGGGGCTCCGCCCGGAGCATTTGACTCAATAGCGTGACCAGAAATGCAGTAGGTGGTTTGGAGGTTTGCTTGGGGGACTCCGCCCGGAGCCTTCGGCTCAATGGCCTGACCCACAAGGCAGTGGGGAGCAGATCCAGCTGGGGAATGTGAGTCCAGAGACAGATTGGGATCTGCTTGACGGCCGTTACACGCAGCCTTTGATTTATTGGAAGGAATTATATTTGTTTTGCGACCGTAGTAGGATACCCACCTACGACCACGGCCAGATGCAGGTGGGTTTTGGCGGGTTTGCACCAATTTGACCAGGGGCTGCCTGGCTTGAGGTGGGCAGTAGCAAACCATTGAACACTCCGAGGTGCCTTCACATGGTCAGAGACAATGCGTGGCACCCGTGAACCTGTTGCCTTCCACGGGTAGGTTTTACGGGAAGAGGGCCATCAATCACTTCCTAACCTCAGAGGAGGATGGACTAGGACACTGGCAGGGCGCACACACCTGACATGAGAACGACTCGGGTCCTCAGTCAAAGCCTTCGATTAAATGTACACCCGAAAGGCAGCGGGTCTAGCACATGGTCAGTTCACTGACTCATGCGGATTGGTGTCGTGGATTTTAGCAGGGAGAAGGGCGTAACCCAATTCCCACCGAGCGGTCGCCACGAGGAGGAGTCCAGGACATGAGCCCATGGCACAACAGTAGCAGCGATGGGAGGACCATCTTTCAGGATCTATTCAAACTAATTTCAGCGTACCTTAGGCCCACCCGCCTATATATATATGGTTGGCGTCATCGGGTTTCGGATTTGCCTGTCACTATGGCCAGCCACAGGACGCCCGCGCCTACAGAGAGACCATGGGTGGCTTGCGCTGCACCACACACAACTCCAACCACACACACCCCATATCCAGTGTAAACCCGAAGGAATAAGACCGGGAGCCATGTGGATGGGAGCCACGTTTCATCAATGGAACCGGCCCACACTCCTTCACAGGCAAACACAAGCACGCTGTATTTGGGAATCAAGCGCACACAAGGCGGTAGCTGGAGCGGACTACGCTCCACACTGAGTGCATGGAACCACTCTTTGATCCTAACACGGCCACAAGGACCGTGCACCCCGCCCACTCCAGCAACGACCAACTGTCTCCTAGAGCCAGGATGGACGAGGTAGTTTGTGATAGACAGGTAGGCACTTTGTCAACATGCACATCAAGCGCAGCTACACCGGGGAAATCAAGCAACAGCCATTCACTTTAAACGACAAGCTGAAATAAAATAAATCCAATAATGCATACAGATACGGTGGCATAACTATTCCCTAAATCACCATATGAAGTAAGTTGGTTAGCAACGAATCCACGATAAGTAAGAAATGTCCACAAGTTAGTTAAAAATGCTACAAACGCAACAAAGTTACCGAAGATAAGCACAATTAGCGTAAGCAACGTGGACAGTTAATAGAAGATTATTCAGGTAGACAGAACAAACCAAAGAAAGTGGAATGAAATTTATCCAGCTTAAAAAGACCTAGTTTAAGTGCAAGTTGGTTTAGCCCAACTGCGGTGAAGAAGCATCAAGAATGCAACATCAGCCTCAGCATGTGGCATATATATATATATATATATATATATATATATATATATAGTGCAAATGTTTGCTTCTCTCATTGCTCGGTGGGTAGTTCCGGGTTACGATGCTTGGCAGCATGTTTTTTAGGCTTTGTCAGTTGTAGCATGTATCGCGGTGTAACACCATGTTTTACTGCAGCCGGAACAAAATTTGAAGTTATTTGACCCAGCGGACTAGTTGATGTACAAATGAGTGACTGCACTCTCGGATTCAATCTTTGGAAATGAGCATGTGGCTGCCCTTGTCCCTGAACACAATGTTTTGTTACGTTAACCACTCCCACGCGATCTCGGGCCGATGCGCAGATGCTGCCACCGCGCGGGAACGCTTGTGAGAAATAAACTAGCTAAACTTCGGGGGATTCGAAGGGGAAATGAGTGACGAAGGAATTTGCAAAAGTCCAGTTGGCTTTGCACTCTTTTGTTTCCATGTGTTTGACGGAATGATTGCAAAAATGGGGTCCAATGAACAATAAATTTATCTGGGTTAAGAAGTACTGCTTAACAACTCCAGTTGTGTAGGTTGGTGGGGATATCGAAATAATAATAATAACAAAACCGTAATTTTAATATGAAAAGGACTTATCTTCTTTTCCTCTGTAGTCCTGAAATCCTCATAGATTCAAAGTGTCCACAGTTACCATCAAATAAATACAAGGTACATCCCAGGATTGGGATGGATATGTAGTGCTAAGTAACAAAGTGTTAGTGGATGCGTGCGTCCTCCAACCGTCTTTTAAATACTGTTAATGTCGGTGGGGAGACGACTGATTCATGTGGAGCGCTCCACGGGTGAGATGCACGAATGGAAAAAATTGCTGCGGCAATCCAGACGACTATATTGTTTTACGAGTTTCAATGAATGAGCTCTTGTGTATGTATTGCTGCTGAGTTGTAATACGGAGCGGCGCACAAGATGAACGTCGTGCAGAATCAAGTAACGATCAAGTATGCCATTACCAGATCGCATCGTAATCTGCGATATCGTCCCCCAATCGTTTCTGCCTCTGCTCGGATGGGAGATTGCGCATTACAAATACGTATTTAGATGCTCGACGTGAAGGATACTCCAGTGCAATTAGGTCGTATTTCAGCCATGGATGACCGCCTTGAATTAGGTATTCGACATGGGGGCGAACATACGCACTGAGCAACTGCAGCAAAACAGTGATAGCAATCTGTCCGAACGCCCGTCGCAACAGTCCGACGTGTTGGTTTCCAACTCTCAAGGCCTTTTCGGATTGCCTGGAGTAACTCAAGTCATCTTGAACCAGAACACCCAAATCACGTTAGATAATAGATTATTGTAGTGCATTCGTTCCAAGCCGGTATGAATAGTTTCGCTGATGTCGTATGGAAAGTACCTAGACTTCGATCATGTTAAAATGCTATAAATTTTGTGTTGACCACTGATGTGCCGTGTCTAGATCACTCTGAAGCAGATGCTGATCGGCATTCACCTGAATCCTGCGTCAAATCTCGATATCGTCGGCAAACA